ATTTTTACATAGTTAGTTACTTTATTGAATATATATTTAGTCTTGCTTCCTGTGTCCAAATATAAACTGATCACATCATTAGAATATCATAACAGTAGAGTATATCCGGTTCATTCATGAGTAGGATCATCAAGATACTTTTATTTCGTCCTTTTTCATTGATTGAAGCGCAATTCAGTCTGTCCTCATTGTCGGAAAAGGATATGCATTGATATTCAATCCGATCAAAACCTAAAAGTTATTTCACGATACATTATTTTTGTACTTGAACTTTAATAGACCGTTACAATTAATATGAAGTATAATGTTTGTCAGACATACGGCTTTCACGTATACAACTAAACTTAAATCATTTATTTTTCAGTTGGTGGTTTAGACCTTTTGGAACATTTTTTTCTGACAATTAAAACACTTTATATGATATAATAATTATAGGTTTTATAACGAGTGAGAATTGGATATCGCTTTTTATTAACTCGAGTTATTTAATATCAATAGTATAATAAACGAGCCTTCAGCGAATTTATTATTACTATTTGAATTAAATAACGAGAGTTGATTTTAAGCGATATCCAATTTTCACAAGTTGTTAAACCTATTTCTCTTATGGTCAACAGCCTCATTGTGTTAAACTAAAAATTCCGCGAATCGTTGGTGTAGTCTATTGCACATGCCAGTATGATGTCATATGTCCTTTTCTGTTGCCGAACTTTAACATTAGACATTTTAAAACTCCTATACTCTTTAGAATGTAATAACAGTTGACAAAAAGAAGATTGTTGGGTGAAAAGTGTGAGGGTTTTGTATATTATTGAAGAATTCACAGATGTTTGTTGCCATGGACGAAACATACATCGTCTTAACCTTTGAAAGTCACCAATGACCTAACGAATAGCCAATGGAAATGCCGGTATATTGTGTCTTATGAGGCTAGATAGGGCAATCAAATTAACGCAGATTTTCGTATCTTTTTTTCGTACCACACTCCGTATAGTGTGATATGAGAAATATTTATTCCTGCAAGAAAAAGATAAAACACCACAACCATAAGACAATCAGTTATATATTTCGACGACATCTGGCACCTTTTTAGGTTCACCAGCGCTTTCATTTTATTTTCATTGTAACAAACAGCAAAATAAGCACACCAGATTTATCGATATGACTATATCGTCATTTGTCCATAAAGTAACAAAGAAGATAAAAAAAAAAAACCCAAAATATACTCCAAAATTTACAAATAGAAGATTTAAGATCTTGTTTTCCTGTTTGATTTCTTAGACGTAAAAAATATACCTCAGCATTTTTTATCTCAAAGGAATTCTAAGATAATCGTGCATCTTCCATGGGATATACATTTTCAAACTTATTCGGTATTCAAGAGAATTCCAGGTGCTACTCAGACTTTATAAAACGTCACCAGTGTTTGAGTAGAAAGTTAATGAACCAGGGTTATGTCAAGGAACGTCTCGTCTTTTTTCAAAAAAAGTTCTTCGGAAGATACCAAGAGACCTTGTTGATAAATATTACGTATGAACTTCACAAGTGATACATGATGTTCTTGAAGTATAGACTCTAGGAACTGACGTCATTTAACATCTTAATTATCTGTTATAGTGTTGTTTTTATTTGTCTGTATATTTCAAAACTTTACTTTTCTTTTCATTTTTTCTTATGTCCTTCGTCCATAGGGTGTTCAAATACCGTTTTTTTGTTGCTGAAATAGTTATTTGTTTTTATAGTGATTAACACAATGATAACTACAGTACCTCGATTGTTGACATTTTTACCTATTGTGTCACGCATTCTTGTCGATATAATGGAAATGTATGCGACTGTCATACAAGTGAGAGGTTTAGTGAGCTATAACACCAGGTTTAATCCACCGTTTTCTACATAAAAAAATGCCTGTACAGAGTCAGGAATATGACAGTTATTTTCAAGGTAAAAAAGAAATGACGATATATAACGAACTCGGGTGTCAGGGTGTCAACACTCATTCACATACATGTATCACACTTCGAGGAAAGACACAATCGATACAGTTACAGATTAAGTGGTTATTCTGTTATAGGTACTCATTTCGCTGAAAGGCCTCCTTACAATAAGAAAAGTAATACATTGTAACATTACTTCATATTAGGGTTTTTTTAAAGCCAATACCAATTTATCATGGAAGTCTTATTATTATCAATTAAACCTGTCGTAAAGTCAACCTCAGAATTGTTTTGAAATGGAAATTCAAAGTCACAACAAAATGTTGTTTGAAAGTCAAATCTTTGAAATACCCAAAATTAATAGTTTTATACTTTCTACAACATGCCTGAAAGAAAAAAAATAATAACTCTCAGTTATGAATGAAGAAGTAGTTTGAGAAAAAAAATGTGACACTAAAAATATGCGAGTATTGATTTTAAATAACCATCTTAAAAATGAACAGCTGTAAAACATAATGTACAATTTTTTTGTGAAGTAAGAAATTTCCCCATTGCAACAAAATAATTGGCATGCCTAATAGTACATGTGTATAATTTAACCATACCGTATCAACACTTTGTGATCAGGGACTTTCCGTTTCGAAATTCCGCGGAGTTCGGTATTTTAGTGATCTTACTTGTTTTGTGTTATTTAAAAAAAAAAATTAAACTCTATATGGATTATGTCACATTCGGGAAAAGATAAGTGTCTTACTGTCGAGTCTATTGTCCAGGATCATATGTGTTGCACGTACATCAAATATATCATATCTAATTTAAACTAGTCAACTTTAAATTCGTCTTGAAACTGGGTACTAAACAATTCTGTTTTTTACGTCGAGTTTTATATTAAATTGATGAAACACTTAATATGTTAAACCCCCGGACATTCATACCCAGATACAGAGAAGTGTTAGACTCCATTAAAAGGACAGTATTTGTACAATTATAATAGAACATCCTATGCCGAATTATGTTGTTATAAATCATTATATAATCAAAATCTATCTAAATAGTACGAAGTTACGTTATATATTATTTTGCTGTTCAAACAAGTCTGAATCTTATCTTTCTCTTAAGAAGTCGAACGGTGTTAATATGACGCGCTTTTTATTTTGAAAAATTGAATTTGAAATTAATGTAACGATATCGGCTCAATTGCGTGGTGTATTTACTGTCATTTTGAACTTGGAAATTATACTTGCTTTGTACAAGATCAAGAGCGCTCGGCCAGTTTTTAAAAGTAACAGTATACTGGTATACAGGTCACTTTACGTAGACTCATCTGACATCGAGGCAACCATTGTTTGCTCTTCACCTGAATGACGCCAGCTAAGGGTAGACGCAGTAAATATCAATGATATGATTGGGTTCACTAGACCGGAAAATGAACCAACAACTTCCCGCATTCGAGACGAGTTTTAATGATTTGATATAGATCTCAAAATATGAAATATTCCAAGTAGACAGAAACATTTGAAAAGCAAAAAGAACTAGAAAATTGAGTATAGATTTACTAAATACCGGTTAAAAACAAAGTATTAAACAAAAATAATTAAAAAAATCGTATAAAACGACTTGTTTCCGTTAAAAGAAAATGTCGTGGTCCTTTATTCACTCAAGGAATTCCTTTGTGGTGTGTTTATAGACCGGATATCGACATCCCTCAGTAAATATACATGTATCAGAAAGATCGATGGTTTCAAGATTATTCACAAAATGCCAATTTCTTACAAAAAACTATGTTATCAAACCTTCTGATGTCTACATGAAAAATCCATGAAACATCATCCAATAAGAATTCAGAACGAGGACCGCCGATGATTGACACTTCGAGGGTTTTTTTTTTCATCCGTATATTCCTCATCAGAATGATCGCTACTCTGTGTAAAGAACAACACTTTTTTTAAAATACTGCTATGAGTTGATAGTGTATAAATAAAGGAACTATAAAGGCAGAACAATGCTTGTTCTCGAGATATAAGTCATTGACAAGTTGGCGCGAAATATTTCTCTATAGACTTTTCATACATTTGACATTGGCACCCTTTTTCACATAAAAATAGGAAAAAAGTAACAAGGATTTTATAAGACTTTCAAATATTGAATATTGCTTCTTAAACTAAATGTTATAAAATTTTGAATAGAAATGTAGGGGTTAGCGGGGAAAAATTAATAATGACACTACATGGATAAAACCAGAGAATTTTAAATATCTGGCAAAAAAATTAAAAAAAGAGGAGCAAACATCCTTAATATCCATGTGTTTTGTTGCATAACAAAAAACTGTACTTTCGAGTTTCTAAGTTGACCAGCAGATATTTCAACAAAATATCATGCTCTTCTTTGAATAATATATTAAATCATTTAATAATTTTCCTTTTGTATGGCGAACAAAATAATAAGACATTTGTAACATCCAAAATACAATAAAACGAAGACCACATTCCATCAAATTCAAGACAGCCTTGCCATAATGAACTAGTAGTAATCGTTAAAAAGGTTTTTCTGTGTATGTCTATCAGATAGGGTATTTTGTTTTGCTGAATATTATTTATGTGAAGTCTCCTTACATAAGTAATCGTAAATCTATCAAAAGTGATTTATTGTGTCTTCAAAGCATTAGTCTGTAAACTTGACAACATGGTACACCAGAAGATGATACTAAAATGTATTAAAGATTTGTAGGAGTACATACAATATTTTTCTCACTTTCGCCAAAAGAATCTTCTACTGCTTAAAGTAAAATACAAAAAAAATGTAACAATATGATCATTGACTTGTTTTTTACCATGTTGTTCTCTCATCTCACAGAGAATCTATATACTGCAGAGTTGTAAATTTTATCAAAAGTATAAGAAGGGTGTTTATGCACGTTAATCCGATACCTGATAATATTGTTTACATTAAAACTTCTAACTTAAGGTGAAGGTTGAACTAGTGTTTGATAGTCAAATATTGACATTTTTTGCATATGAATATCGTTGCGCATATCATTATCTTTGCAGATTGACAAACAAATTTCTGACAGTAACTCGGGTGTTAAAACGTTTTTCACAGTCATTACTTCCCCCATTTGGGTACCAGTAGCAGCAGCTGCAGGTGTCGTAGCTGCCCCTTTTACTGCTGTCTCAGATTCTGCTGACGAAAAGAATGCAGCGAAAGCAGTAGGGAGTTATCCAGGAAATTTAGTTGGAAATGTTGTAACTAATCCATTTAAAGCAATTGGCGAAGTTGGAAAAATGTTGTCAGGAAATGATAAGGTAAGATCTAACTTTGTTAAGATGTAAACTTATTTGAACTCGTTTCTAAGAGAAAAGTTGTGATGTTATCATTATAAACTATTGTTTGATGAGTATCGACAAATATGTAAACCTGGTGTTATAAAATCTAAAGTAAATTATATATGTCACTTTGTTACGATATGTGTATGACTACGATACAGGGTGGGGATATTAAATGGGGGGAATGCAGAAAAGAAAATTTGTTGATAAATAAATTATTGGTGAATAAAAATCGTCAATAAATCTCTCAATTAACACACTCTGAATATAATATCGTTTTCCTGAATTACAGGGGACTCGGAGGTCGCATGGTCTACCTTGTCGAATCACGGACGCAACAGGTGCACGTGACTTAAATCTTAATTGATTAGTATTGTCAGTTTTCCTACCAAAGTTCGGAGGGTTTTTTTTCATGCACTCCGGCTTCCTCCACCAATAAAAACTGACCGCAGCAAAATAACACAATACTGCTAAATGTGGCGTTAATCGCCAATTAATCAATATTGCTTAATAACAAAATACATAGATTATGGAAATAGTCTTTTATTTTTAAAATAAATGAATTTCTGTGTAACTTTTATGGAATAATTTAAAGTAGACTTTTTTTCATGAAGAAAAACGCACGGGTGCTATATAGTGTATTGAAAAACTAGGAATACAATATTTCATCGATCAAAGAATTTTTCCCTTTATTTTTTAACAATCCTAGACTGGTCACTGGTATAAAGTACGATACTTTTAACGCTAAGATCAAAAACAAATCTAGACAAGATGAAAAATGTTTTTGCATCAATCAAAAATTCATTTATAATCGATTTCATTTTTTTCACGATTTTTGGTTAATTCAACTACTGCTTAAAGGTGTAGACACAAGTAAAGGTGTAAATCATTAAATTATATAAATGTGGTCATTATTGTCAGTGTGTTTTCAGAATTCTATCGAAATAGAAATAATTTGAACGAAGTAGACGCTTAGAATATTCTAGTGAATATGATAAAGATAAACACACCAATTCATGATATTTTAAACAGTCAAGTCCAATAATATATTTTTACCTCTCCCTCAGAAGTCAGAGTATCGGCATTTATCATGATTTTTTGCACTCTTTGATTAAATAAATGCTGAAAAATTGGATTGCAATTCTCTTTTGTAGTGTATATGTATATATAATTTACTGTAAAACAAATGCGTTTTGTTAAAATATGCTTTTTCACTTTTTTGGTCTTTTGGAAAATGTTGTTTGTACTGTATTTAGACCCTTCTAACAAGAAATTTGTTTTGCATGCACACGTATAAAAAATGCGGTTTTTATCCAACGCAATCATAAGTTTGAACGTTGTTTTCAATTTAGACTTGTTTATATTTTACTGTAAAATATATAAACACTCTTTTTGTTTTTCGTAATTTTGTTTCAAAACTGCGCTTTTTATGATAAAAGATAGCGTACCTAAAAAGAATTAAAAAAAACATTTTCGGAACTCGGGTCGTATGCACACAGAATTCGGTATCATACGATTTGTTTGATTAAGATAGTGTGTTTGTGTGGTCAAGATAACAATTTAACCATGACTATCTGTTTGAACGATATACGCAATATCTCGTGAGACAGAACATATGATTAAAACAGATTAGTTATTATAAAAAAGAAAATGTGGTATGATTGCCAATGGGACAACTCTCCACAAGAGACCAAATGACACAGAAATTAATAACTATTGGTCACCGTACGGCCTTCAACAATGAGCAAAGCCCATACCGCAAAGTCAGCTATAAAAGGCCCCGAAATGACAAATGTAAAACAATTCAAACGAGAAAACTAACGGCCTAATTTATGTACAAAAAATGAACGAAAAACAAATATGTAACATATCAACAAACGACAATCACTGAATTACAGGCTCATGGCTTGGGACAGGCACATACATACAGAATGTTGCGGGGTTAAACATGTTAGCGCGATCCCAACCATCTCCCTAACCTGGGACAGTGGTGTAACAGTACAACATAACAACGAACTATAAAAATCTGTTGAAGAAGACTTAACTTATCAGATGGATACAAATAGAAATACATCTAACAAAAGCAGAGTGGACGTGGCCGGGTATTTGTATACACCAACAACAAAAAGTCACTAAGTACTGATCTAAGAGTACTCGCAGGTACAACCAAACTTCAAAACTAAATCTATTTATATATGGAAGAATTTAGTAAAGGTTTTAAGTAGATTTTAGTAACGATATCCCTGGCTTAATAATTTACCAGTAATACATAGATTACGTTCATTAAAATCAAAAACGTCACAACAGACATGGGCATAGCGAACTAGTTGTGACTTATATTACCTTGAAAAAAACTCACAACGACACAATAATTGTAGAGGCATATACTTATCACTATATGGTCCTTAACAATAATAAATATAAAATAGGTCTAGATCTAACTCTTGTTGGGTCTAAAAAGTATCGTGCATAAATTTAAAAGCCATATATAAAAAATATGCCATCAACATGATCAATGATATTATATATAAAATAAGAGGACTAAGTAGCTTTTTTCAACTGCCATTAAAATGAACTTGTTTTAAATATACCATGAATAGTATTTTTTTAATCATGACTGTTTTGATTTTTAATTATTACAAATTGAATCTTCTTGAAATCTGTTTGGAAATAAAAATGAATTTCGAATGTCTTTCCCGTTATCTGATTTGGAAACAGATCAAAACAAAAAGTGTGTTTCCTATATACGCGTTATCATATTGAAAGTTTTTATGTTACCGATTAAAGAACAAGAACATTTTCGAGAAAGACCAAAAAACAACTTAACTAGATGAAACGAAATTAATGATTAAAAAAAGCTTCATATAAAAAAAGTACGACGTGTATTTATGTTCCCATGAATTCTGCGGTTTTTTCTATAATCCCATTAAACATGAACATTACAAGAATTTCAAAGACAATTGACATTTTAAAATATGTTTAAGTAAGAAACACATGAATAATTATGTAACGAATATATGAATATCTTATAAGCAATTTCTCTCAGTTTGTATCATTACACCTGTAGCACGGTATTTGCTTGGCCTTTTTGATATTTTTTTATTCGAGTGTCGATGATGAGTCTTTTGTAGACGAAACGCGCGTCTGGCTCAAATATGAAATTTTTAATCCTGGTATCTATGCTGAGTTTATTTGCTTGACTCTCTTTGGGTAGTATGTATCAATTCCCTCCGTCATTTTAGGTAAACAGTCAACATGTCATCTCCGCTTTTAGTACACACGGGCACAACCCAACATTTCTCAGGCATATACTGTTACCTGTTAAAACATCGATTCATTATCGACATCGCCATATTGTTTATCCTAAGGACATTTGTCAAATTGGATTGTATCCCCTTGATTTTATTATCACTTACGATAACTCAATTAGGATATTTCATAGTGTAGCGTATTAGTAAAATATAAATTGTTGTTTCAGAAATAGAGGTGTCAAGTAAGAAGAATATAAAAGTCGTGAAGAAATACAGGAGAATTAAACAACAATTGAACAATTTATGATTCAATATCTATTGATGAACATGGCCTTATTACGTACACAAATATACTGTAATTTACTTTTGGAATTCAATACAATGATAGCATTTAAGATTGTCTTTGTTGTCTTATTATCTTATCTAAACTGTATTTTTCCTATGGTCTATTAAAGGGGCACTAGCTGTCAAATTCATGTTCACCGATTTCATTTATACTTGATTTATAACACACCAAAACGTATATTCAAATTACAAGAAGTCTGAAATAAACAGTTAACACTGCATGTACTCGATAATATATATATCAGAATTTCGTGTTCATTTTAGTCTAGACGCTATCTAGTTATCTTTCGAGATGACCACCGAAGACTGCCGATTGTCATATAACCCGATTAAACATAAACATAAATATAAATAACTAGCGACCTCGTGCTATTGGATTTTTCTATGTCTGTTTGGTACCATGTATAACAAGTTAATTTTCATTTTTACCTGTATAAGAATGAAGTTTTTGTGGATCGAATCAGTCAACGAAATGGTTTACCGTTGTTTCACTTTCAATGTTGATAATCTTTTCCATTTAATGGCTGACCACCATTTATACATGCGTAACCAATCTTTAACTATTGGGTTAAATTGAAGGTCACATGAATACGTATTCAATGAAGTCGAATTATTCACTTGCATGTTTCTTTGCTTATTTTGACAAAATTAAACCAAATTGGTTGCTGTTTTTTTTCTGCTTCACTACCATTAAGATTCCACCAATAAGGCCAATAGAACATTCATCAAACAAATTTATTAAACATATTTTCGAAGAGAAAGATTGAAATATCGATACAATCCATTTGTATTTCGAAAAACATCAACAAATTCTAAAATGAAGGAACATAAGCAACATTGAAAAACGAAAGCTTCTTATGCAAATTTTATTTTAGATTTTGACTATTTATAATAATGGGTTGTCTTACTTTAACTTTCTGTTAAGACAAAAGATGTTATCGTCCATGTCCGATTTTGCAAGCAGCATCTAAGAAAGACAACTCAAATTTGTTACTCAATTTTGATAAAATTATGAAATTTTATAATATCATGGTAATTCCACTTGTATTAGCTGATAATGGTACTATTGGAGGAAGCAGTAGATTTCCATATTCAAATCCCATCAATCCATTAAGAAAATACAGATCAATAAAAATAAAAAGAAAGTGTGGGCAATTGAATCGATTTAAAACAAATGCTGGTTATGAGAGGATAGACGCACCATAGTAAAAAATAAAGACAAAAAAATGTCTACTTGCAACAAAAAAACATTATATAGAAAACTTTATAGATCAAAATAAAAACCTATCAAAATTGAGAGGTGCAACTAAGTTGTGAGCATCGTAAAAAACGAATACTTTTAATTACGTACAAAAAGGGTTCTATAAAATAGTTGATCAATAAAAGGAAGTCTTGTTATGCAGTATGTTTACTTTTTGACATAAAAAAGTTAGACTCCCCGAACAAATTTAACTCTTATATAATCTATATATGCCTGTCAGGAGCCTTTAAATCATTGGCAGTCGTTTGTTTCTGTATATAATATATGCTTTTCGTTCATTGTTTTGTATGATAATCAGGCCGTTAACATTCCCACCTTAATTGATTTATATTTTTCATTTCGGAACTGCTTTTAGCTTGTTATGCGGTATAGGTTTTTTTATTTTGAAAAGACCGTATGGTACCCTATATTTGCTTATTTCTACGTCATTTGGTCTCTGACTTAGATTGTCTCATTGCCTGTCTTGTCAAACTACTCATTTTAATATTAATTTATATATATTGAGCTTCCTGCAAACTAGCAGCTGTCGTGATTGTAGCAATTTTGACTAACATGTATTTACTAATTATAAACTTTTAAAACAAATTTATTCTGATTATATATTTTACAGATACAATACATACTGTCATAAAACAAAATATAATCATGATAATTACTTGAGAATCACAAAATAACGAAAATATTTGTACAATATATTATACATAATTTATGTTCCAATCAACGTTAACAAAATGATTGAGGAAATCTCCCTCGACTTTCTGATCAAAATGCTCTACCAGACTTTAATATAACAAGTTTCGTTCTTTAAACTTTATCTTTTTTCACCAAACATCTTAATAAGAAACTCATATCAAATTCTAAAAATCTGATATGAAATCATGGAATTCAAGTTTTTTTAAAATAAAATATTAAACATTAATTAAAAAAGTGTGCCTTGTTCTTTAAATTATACCCGCTGATATTAAAGGTTCAAAAGTTTCTGATAATAAAATATTTGAATAAATTATTATCTATTTTGCAATACTGATATGATGAATTTTCAGGGAACGAAAAAAATTTCAGCACGTAGAAAACTAGATGAATGTATCCTTTTTCATAAGCTGGATAAAAGGGAATTGCTATATTTATTGCAATTAGATATCTTGTTATCTTAGTCAGATAAAAAAAAAAATTGTTTCAAATGGAAAAGAAATCTGATCACTTCTCTGACATTTCACATTTACAACAACTGCTGTTGTCAAGATGTTGTAAATGACGTCACATACAAACACAATGAGAAAGTTTTAATTTTGAAAATTGTAAATTGAACGATATTTACACTTACAGTCTAATTAAATGGCTCAAATCATAAATGTAATCTACAGTCGAAAAATATATTTTAAACTCTGCTTGAAAATATTTAAATTACCTTCTTACAATTGATTGAAGGTATTGTCATTGGATTCCCAGAATGCTCTACACAATAAATGCACATATATGGCATTTTTAACATTTTAGATTCGAGCGTCAATGATAAAGTCTTTTGTAGACGAAACACGCGTCAGATTGTAAAATTTTTAATTCTGGTATCTATGATACGTTTATCCTAGATCACAAAGACATTTGACATGTTTGTAAAAAGAGGGGCGAAAGATATCAGAGGAACAGATAAATGATAAATATAATTTGTTAAGGTCGCTGATATGAACGTATCCACATGTCTTCCTGCACATAATCTGTCAATATATTGAAATCATTTAAATACACTATATAAATGGACGTTGCATACATGTATCGTTCATTTATATTTTGTCGATTTTTAGGATTATTTGCTTCAGCTGGTTTTTTTTTAATTTTAATTTGTGTTCTTTTTTACTGTATTCCTTTTCACAAAACATTTCCCATTGGTTTAAATGAATGTTGTAATATTAGGAATAAGTACTCCAAAAATGTCACAATTTTGTTTTAAAATAAATTCACGAACATTTTCTTGGACGTTAAGATGACATTGTCAACTTTTTTTTTCTAACTTATATTCATTCTTTTTCACTAGGAATTGTCATTCTTTTTTTAAGGTACTTGTTAATGTTTCAATGTTCCAAACGAGGTTATTTATTTTAAAAAAAGAAATTTCGAGAATTCCCTTTCTTAGTTCTATGTACCGAAATGAAATAAAAAAGAATATTTCGCAATTTACACACAACAATCTGTTCCATTTCCATAAAATATCAGTCTAAAAAATAATAAAGTGCAACAATTATACCTGCAATACAAAATGAGTAACATAAAGCAGCAGCACTATAGCATACAAGTTGTTTTACATCACGACCCTTACAAGAGGGCGTGTCATCGGGTTGATTACAGCCATCATTAATGTTCAAACTTTCTACTTCAGTTTCACAAACACAACAACAACTTAAGGAGCAGCCGTTTTCCAGATCGCTTTTTTCTATATATATATCCGTGTTTGAACAGCAGTAGATACAACAGCAGTCACAACACATTTTTTTACAACGCCTATAGAAACTATTATAACAATTCCTACAGCAACATTCGCAAAAACAACAGTAAAAACAGTCATACATGAAACTAGCCACTATTGTCAGTACATATCGTGTAATTATAGTCGCAAAAAATGCAAAAATAAAAAAGTATAAAGATGGAGGGGACATAAAGGCTTGCCCTACCGATCCACCTAAAATACCAATGGGGATTGACAAATAACCTGCAACTATTCTTACAAATATCATTCGAAAAAGGCATTTCTTTGACTTGTTTCTTTTATAAATTTCAAAAAGAGGTTTATATACAAAGAATATTCTTTTGATTAGGAACATTGTTTCAACTGATACTGACATACATATCGATAACCAGAAGGTCTTTTGTATTGCTTCCATGGCCAGTAATTCTGCAATTATGCATAGGAATGGATTATTTAATGATGCTTTTATGTCAGTTATGATATTTTCTGATGAAATTATTTCTGAAAAACGGGGTATTTCACTATGTTTGTCAAGCACGACTTTTGCTTCGTATATGATATTGTCGCCTAACAGGTTTGAACAAGTTTCGTTGACTCCAATATTTGAACTCCGGGCAGCTACGCCTGCTATTAATAATCTTACATAAGAATATCGTGTAAGAGAACCTGCCAAAGAACTGACAATTGCTATCATCATTGCTACTTTGAGTCCAACTTCCTTCAATTCACCAAATGCAGCTGAAACCAAATCAGCACATCTTGGTCTTGACTTTGCGCCATTACTTTCAGACTCTCCAGTTAGTATGTAATTTACTGCATGTTCACAATTGTTGGCTCCAAAGTCGTAAATTCGCTCCCCTAATTGCGTATAAAGTCTTTCACGTATAGTGTGGTCAGCTGTAGAGATTGGTGGATTGACAAGATAAAGTGCACCTGATTTGTAATCAAAAAGTTCATTGCGTGCATTAATTTGGTTTTTTACTTCTATGGTTTCACTTATGAATTTACCTATTCCAAATTTACTGTTATTTGTAAAAATTTCTTTCGATGATGTATAGTGAGCAACAATGACTCTAATTGTCTCTTTATTTTGTTCTTCTGTTTTCGGTTCAATTACTTCGAGGAGAACGAAGTGATGATAGTAACTGCAACACGTTAACAGTTTTTTTCTTTTAACTTTAAAATGGAAATATTTCTTTCTTTTTTCTTTTAAAAGTTCATATAATCGCTCAAAATCTTTGATCTAGAAGAAAAAAAAAGCGCTATAAGACAAAGTTAGTATTCAAAAAATAAATGTTCATTCGACCATGTTTCTCTTGTTTAGATAT